AGTGGGTTCTCAGATAAATAAGGATATTTTTATTCAAATCCAATACCATAATCACATTCAATGAAATTAACTATAATTCCCAACAATATTTCAAATGGACTGTATTTTCAAAATTACTTTATAAACTTTTTTGTGTGCCATAAAATTAGGTTCTTAAAAATGTATCACCTTCCACAGTTTACACATTAACAAATAATTTTAGAACTTTTTGTCCATTTTATGTGAGTATTCAAACTTCTTCTATAGAATTTCTTAGACGATCACATTGTCCTTTTTAAGTCTAAGTGTATATGTATATGTATGTGTGATTATATAGTGATGTTCTTCTCTAGGTACTGATGTGGAAAACTTGCCATAGCTCTTTCATTTCATCAGTCTTTTTGGAAGATTTCCAATATTTTCCTCTTCCAAAAAAAACTTCTTTCAGTGATCATATCTATTTTTTCAGTTTCCATTTCATTGATTTTCTACTCTTCTCCCATTAATATTCTTACAAGAACATGTGGAAATGGCTCATGGGTCACCAAATGATATAGAGGAAATTAGGGTCCTGTCTTGGGATTCCTAGTGCCATTCGTTTAAGAGTGGGTTCAAAGGATGGGAAGCTCAAAAAGAATTTAACTAGAGTTTGAAAATAAAAAATCCCTTCAGCAGGCAGGCTCTAAATCTCATCAGATTCCCAGAGGTTGATAATGTAGCAAAGAAAGGGAAAACAAAAAATCAGAAACAAATAAACAAAAACTGCCATGCTGTTCTAGCTAGCACAGAGTCCAGACACATGGTGAACAACAGGTAGGGAGGGAGCAGTAGGAAATAGTACTGCAGCCCATACATGGTACCAGAGAAATCAAGCTTGGGTTCTGGCAAGCCCAGAAAGATATGGATAAAGAAAAAAAGTTGTCCCTTCTTAATCAAGCCCCAGAAACGTGAACTTCACTGTGGCTCACCTGGGAAGAACTGTACTGGGAGAAGAAATGCTGGGAGAAGAAACCAAAAGGGCAGCATCTTATTAAAGGAACAATTATTCCATGACTTATGTTTAATTTGGCCTCCTAGGGCCCAAGTTGAGATTCTATTCTCTTGATGGGAAGTTTACTTAGGCTTTTGTTGATACTCTAAGGATAGTATTTCCTTCTTTCTCTTTGCTCCTGGTTTAGTTTAGTCTTGTTGGTTTCCTGGAGTTGGGAGACAATTCACTTCAATGCTGGATGCAGAAGAATTACCTTTCTATGGATAATTATTGTCTGCTACTTTAAACAATTCCACCGCTACCACAAGCCCTGGGAACAATTACCATTAGTGCTGGGATCTTCAGTGCTGGACAGTTCAGTAATTAAATTCCAAATTCCCTTCTTTGAGTGTATTTCCCAGACTACTTTTTCATGTCAGAATCCCACCAAAGAATTCTATCATGAAAGTGGGAAGGCAGGACGTTCTAGGATATTAACACAGATGTGAAAGAGCCTGTGTAACACAGGGAGACATGGGATCATAGGGCAGGAGCAACAACAGCAACTCCTCAGAGAGCTGGAGCATGGGATGGCCACTGAGAATTCCTTCAGGCTGAAGAGGAGGGAAGAGACAATAGAATTTATATCTGTACTGTGCTGCATCAAGTTGGGTGTTTGCTTCTTCCTAAGGCACTATCAAGACCATTTTGATTCTTGTTTGTCTTGTCTTTGTTGCTGTTTGTTTGTGTTTTTAGGCAATGTTATACTTTCATTTCAAAC